AAATTCTTAGACTCATATGCTAGTATGCTGATAATATAGGTGCCCAACTTTTGTATTTTGAAAGGAGTTGAAATAAAAAAAAGACAATCTATTCTAAAGTTCTAAAAGCAAATACATTACTAGAAAAAAACTAAATGTACTGAATGTTACCCCAAAGATAAAAAATAGAATTATACAAATCAGCTATCCAGTGATTTAAAGTCATGGCTCCATTCTTCCCAACTCTTGCAGTTACCTCTATATAAATGAATTTTAATATTGTGCAATAAATTCTGTCCACATCCTATTTCCTATGTTTTACTAGTTAACTTTTGCATACTTTTCTATTTTGTTAATAGAAAAGTGGATAATACTTAATAAAGTGGATAGCTAAAGATGAAGGAGTAACAAAGAAAGGAATTCACTTAAGGCAGTGGCAAAAAGAACAGGATCCTTTTAAGAATGCCTTACTGAAGAATATTATAAATAATGAGGAGGAAAAAATGAAATAAAACACAATTTAAAAGTCAAGAGTGGAGGGCCCAAACCAAGAAAACATTTATTATAATGAAAAGTTTGACAAAATACATTCTCCTGAACTCATGAATTTATTCTTGCTCTTAAACTACATTTCTTCATTTTTGTGCTATTGGTCAGTTTAATAATAGCAAATAATCCTAGCAGCATTTCTGTTTGACTTTTGAATGCCTTGTATGTATTTAGTCTGGTAATAATCCATCTGTTTAGATATTTGATTTTGTCACTATTGCTTTGTTTAGGCCTGGTAGTGAGAGGAATTGTGGAGGACAAAAAAGGGAATGGGAAGAGTGAGAACATTTTGTTTAAAGATATCTCTAATAGAGTTATCTTCTCACAGTGAAAATGGGCAAACTTTGACTGGATGTATAATAGATTGCATCTGTCACTTCTATATCAAAAATAGTCAGTGCTCCTGAATATATCATCCAAACAAAAGTTAAATGTTTTATAGCAGTGTATTTTATCATATTTCATTTAATTATATTAATTCATAAAGTCTCCACAAAATAAATTATCCTTATTCTGTAATCCACCAGAAATAATAGCAGAAGGCAGTGATTTTTGCATGGCATTTAACATTTTAGCTGAAATTTAAATCTTACATATAGGAAATTTGTGCATATGAAGTCAGATTATACATTTAATTATGTGGTTATGTGGTTTTCTAAAAGCCAACAAACAAAATAAAAACACCTTATTCTTTATAATCAGTTGGCTTGAGACCTTTATCTTGACAGCTACACTTGAAATTCACACTCCAATAGTATATCCCTATCAACAAAATGCTTACCTTTAATTATTCAATATTTAAATAAAATTTTCCTGTTCTCTACTCAAGATTTTTAGGTAAATATTTTAAATCTGTATTTCTAGACAGAATAAGAAATAGTAGTTATTCTGAGGAATACAGTGCAAATTAGTAAGAGTTGCATAAGAAACAGTAATCATTCTGAGGAATACAGGACAAGTCAGTAAGAGGTGATTAAATTAGCACAATCTTAGAATTTTAAACCTAAGGATGGATTCCAGTATTATTGTCCGTTGTTTATTCCCCCAAGTTCCTATTATCACCTGTCAGAAGTAGAGAAAGATAAATGACTTAAGTGATCTGTGGAAGAAGAAGGCAGAGTGAAGGGCTAAGAGGAATGTTTGTGGAATCTATGAAGAGAATAATAGAATCAGTAGACCAAAGATGACTGGATATATCCCTTTGTCACTCCTGATGACTACCTATAACAAGGAAATTATGGTACTTTAAAAATTAAAGTTCTTTACAGTTGATACTTGAATGTTTAAATATATAGATACAGGCATAGTTTAAAGAATAAATCATTTGGATCTATGTTAAATCAATCTATTTTGCTTCTATATTTTCAGAAGGGAAAAGTGGCTTTTCTTTCTTTTCTGTAAGTTGAACTGGTAAGTTTGATGTCATGAATTTTTAATGTCTCATTTATTTATGAGCTGGGGTGTGAAGCATTGTGTTAGGCTTCTTTGTTCCTTAGACTTTCAAATAGGAAGTAAATAAAAATGGTAATTATTCAAATTAATTAAAAATTACCTTTTATGTGACCAACTATTAAAAACTTTTAGAAATGTTCATAGTTAGCATTGAATTTTACCAGCAATAAAAGTTGATGCAAAGACTCAGTCCTCTAATTGCAGAATTGTTTATAGAAATAGCTGTGTTCAGCAAAGAATAATGCATTATTATCTAAAGGGCATTGCTAAATTATCTATTATGCTTTTGGAGAACTTGGTAAAATAAATAAGTTATGGTGAATTTAATCCACATAATCAATAAAGATAAAACATTCTTGTCCCTCTACATACAGATCTGTTATCCACAAAATTCTTCTACCTCAGCCAACTTACTGGTACTGGAATAATTCAAAATGAATTATTCTTCAGGACAGTCCATAATCATTTTTAGAATATAATATAAATTGTGCTAAATGAGGTCTGCTTCCAATTACAATCATAGCTGTAAGATATTGTGCTTGTCTGGAAATATCTACAAGTTCAAGGTTGTTGCTGCACCACCCACATTGGTTTGGATGTCTGTTTTAGCGACTTTTCATTATACCCTTGCCATGTCTAGTAATTCATCCATTTCCAATAAAATCCACCCCATTATTTAAACATACCAGGAATTTGGTAATTGCTTAAATATTATCTATTAATGTGGTAGTCAAGTTCTGATAGTAATGGGCTGTTTCAAGTAATGAGGAAAACGGGAAGATATTTGTGGAAGGAAAGTGCTTGGAGGAGCATATGTCTTGCTCAGTAGCCTTAGCAATGTGTGCACCTAGCACTGAAAAATTTATCTGCAAATACCTAAATTAGTGAAGTACAGTTGTATGTTGCTTGGGATAGGAATAATTTGGGGAAGGAATTGTGTAAATGGCTTGCTTCTTGATTTGTTTTTTGTTTTGTTTTGTTTTTTGTAAAGGAGGATAACCAGATCAACAACATATTTTTATCAATTAAACCTTGCTAGTTTTCAGATAATATAATTTATCTTATAGGGAATTTGGAGAATTAGCTGGCTGTGACATCTCCTGATCTGAAATACTATGACACATGATACACATATCTTTACATTAGGAATTATTTTTGTTCTATGATCATTATTTGATAGCTTTAATTCCATAAGGTTCAAGTTTATGACCATGTAAGGCCCAATGACCTTTATGGGTAGAATTGTTATTTTGTTTAGAATCACTGACTGCATTAAAATCAATTTATAACTATAAAGGTTCTACTATTTTTCTCTTTCAATTTAATAACAATTGAAAATATTTTCTTATCACAGGTAAGAGACATAAAAAGAATCTTGAAATTGCTAAAAAGAACATGTTCTTAAAATTGTCATGAAGTTATATCTAAATGTATTAACCTTTTAAAAATTATTTGGCATTATTGAAAGAGACAAAGACTTGAGATTTTAGTAATGTCATGACAGTATTCTGGCATATCTGAGGTATGGTCTTCTGTTTAGCCACTCAAATTTATTTAAAATCCTTCACAAGGGGGAACAAAAAACCCACTCCTTGAGTGGTCTGTGCATAATGACTTTCTTGCAAAGAGTACAGTAGGGAAAAGGGGAGAAAAGAGAGTAACTTTATATTTTATCATGAAGAAACACTGACAGTTAATACATCAGCCAGATAATCAAGATCAATATCAGTACTAATCAATCCTATCGATAGTGTGGACCCTTGACGTGAAGTGTTCAAATGTTACTTTACCTCTGTTGTCTTTTTTATCAAACCAACAACCCCTGTCTAATCATGAGAAAAATATAAGATAAAACCCAATTATAGTGAGTTAGAAATTTTTACAAAATGTAACTAAGTGTGGATATGAACACACATCTGTCATCCCATCTTAGTTAAAGACAGAATGGCTAAATCTTCCTCAATGTCACTAGATTTTGAATTAAGTTGTCAATTTTTGACATTGACTATTCTTCTAAAGGTGAGTAATGCTAGAGGAGAAATGGCTTAACAACAAGCTTAAACTCTTTATAAATACTAATATTAGGAAACAGGTGAATATCAAAGCACACTAGATTGACCCAGTAAGTATAAAAATTAAGCCTAAATCTCCAACAAGCTAGTTAACAGCCTTGAAAAGGAAACTGCCTAATATATCAGAACAGATTGTTGTTTGTCCTGGTGAGGCCACTTGATTAATTAGTATGGCTTTTGTACCAAGTAGTAATCAGGTTATTTCACATTAACAAAAACAACTTCTAAAGCAGAAAGGGTAATATACATAGAAATAGAAGTGCTTGTTATTGGCTTTTTGATGCTATCTACCAGACAAAATGGAAAACCATAGTGGCATAGAAATATATTAGTTTTTAGCAGAAGCACAGACTTCTATAGATTTAGTTAATCAATTTAAAAAAAATAACAATGAACTTGAAATTTCCTTTTCCACATGAAGATTGGGGAAGAAAATACTTGGGCTCAAACCTGTTTATTTTAAATCCACAATTTTTTAAAACCCTGCCTGATTTAATTTGTTTGTAGGAAAATAGATTACACACTGGATACATACATATTTTATATAGAACGAAATGGTTTCTAAGTTCTAAAATGTGCTATAAATCAAAGACCGAAGAAAATTCTATAATACAGATAACCAAGAACAATGTGTATTACTGCATTGAATGTTTCTCCTTCTAGAATAATGTCTGCATTCAATTGTTTTTCAACTATGCTTTTGCTGTTCTTTTTTTTCTCAGGCCCTTTCTGCAATATGTAGGAGAAACTTGTCCATTTATTCTTTATATAATAACACCCTTGAGGGACAGTGTAAGCTCTTTCCATCATTAATCAGAGTTAACTAAGTGAGTTATTTCAGCAGATGTTCAATGGCAGACACCTTCTCAAAACCAACTGTCTTTCTTATGAAAAGCATTTACTTTACACATCAAATAAACAGCATTGTTATATATTTTTTTATTCTAGTGTGCTGATAGGCAGAATTCACCGGTCACTTCACCAGGGTCATCTCCCCTTGCACAGAGAAGAAAACCCCAACAGGACCCTTTGCAGATCCCACATCTCAGCCTGCCTCCCGTGCCTCCCCGCCTGGATCTGATTCAGAAAGGCATCGTTCGTTCTCCATGTAGCAGTCCAACTGGTTCGCCAAAGGTAAATCAATTTTATGAGAAACAGATAGTGATGATTTTACATGACAGTTATTGATTGCTCAGCTTCTTTTAAATTTCATTTTACATATTTCTGTGCTCTTATTTGTTTCTGAATAGTGTTGATAGGTTTCTCATTCTCTGTATGGTGAAATCACAGTCATATTCCTAGCATTTTTATTATAAAAGTTACATAATTATTCAGAGAGAGCACATGTCTGTAACAGCCCACTGACTTGCTAAAATAAATAGCAGAGTAAGTACAGTTATTCTATAAAGTGGATTTAAAAGGTCATTAAAATACTCTTATCAAATGATATTTTATACTCAGTTTCATAGTGTCATGACAAGAAAAATGTAATGAGATTATATTTGCATAAGGGCTTAAGGTGTGATAAATTATCATGCATGTTTCAAGGTGACTCAGAAGAGGGAATTATATGTACTTTTTACACCTGAAGCAATTAATTATAAAGAATTACATTATTTGCAGAGTAATTACATTGCTATTTAATATTAAGGACATAGTTCTAACTCAGTAAATCTAAGCCCACAGTTATTTTAGTTCTTTGCAGTCTATGCAGGTATTTTTACAGATTTGATAAGGGCATATTTTGCAAACTTAAGCACAGGATTTAAAAAATTCCATTTGATATTATGCTTTGCAGTCTTAATTAATTGGAAGCAAAATATTTCCTTAATATTTAATTCCTCTATATTCAAGTTAACTTTGTTTTAAAATCATATTAACATATCTTAGGATGTTACTTATGCAGGGTTATGCAAACATACAGTATGTTTCTTTTAATATCAAAAGCACAAATCAGCCCTGGTCTGGGTATCTCAATTGGTTGGAGTGTTGTCCACATGTACCAAGATTGGGGGTTGGATTTCTGGTCAGGGCACATACAAGAAGAAGAAATAAAAGGCATCCAAATTGAAAAAGAAGAAGTAATATTGTAATTATTTACAGATTACATGACATTCTACATAGAAAACACTAAAGACTTCATCAGAAAACTATTAGAACTAATGAATTCAGCAAAGTAACAAGATACAAAATTAACACCCAGAAATACATGGCTTTTTTATATACCAATAATGAACTCACAGAAACAGAAACTAAAAACAAAAACACAATCCCATTTACTATTGCAACAAAAAATTTGAGATACTTAGGATTAAACTTAACCAAGGGGGTAAAGGAACTGTATTCAGAAAATTATAAGACACTGAAAAAAGAGATCAAGGAAGACATAAACAAATGGAAGAACATACTATGTTCATGAACTGGTAGAATCAACATCATTAAAATGTCCATATTACTGAAAGCAATCTATAGATTCAGTGTAAACTACATTAAAATACCAATAGCATATTTCAAAGACCTAGAACAAACTTTCCAAAAATCCACATGGAATTAAAAAAAAAAAAAAGACCCCAAATAGCCATAGCAATCCTGAGAAAGAAGAACAAAGTTGGAGGGATCACAATACCAGATAGCAAGCTCTACTACAAGCTATTATTCTCAAAACTGTCCAGTACTGGCACAAGAACAGAAATATAAACCAATGAGACAGAACAGAGATCAACCCAAGCCATTATGCTCAATTAATATTTGATAAAAGAGGCAAGAGCATGCAATGGAGTCAAGATAGTCTCTTCAATAAATGGTGTTGGGAAAATTGGAAAGATACATGCAAAAAAAAAAAAATGAAACTAGAGCACCAACTTACACCATACACAAATATAAACTCAAAATGGACATAGGACTTACATAAACCATAAAAATATTAGAGGAATACACAGGCAGCAAAATCTCAGACATATGCCAAAGCAATATCTTCACTGATACAGCTCCTAGGCAATAGGAACTAAGGAGAAAATAAGCAAATTAACTACATCAAAATAAAAGGTTTCTGCACAGCAAAAGAAACCATCAACAAAACAACAAGAAAGCCCATTGCATAGAGAACATATTTACCAATGTTATCTCCGATAATAGTTTAATCTCCAAAATTTATAGGTAACTCATTCCACTCAACAAAAGGAAGATAAACAACTCAATCAAAAAATGGACAAAGGACCTAAATAGTCAGTTTTCAAAAGAAGACACACAGAAGGCCAAGAGACATATGAAAACCTGCTCAAAGTCACTAATCATCCAGGAGATAAAAATCAAAACTTCAATGAGCTACCATCTCACACCTGTCAGAATGGCTATCACCAACAAATGACAAGTGCTATTGAGAATGAGTTGAAAAAGGAACCCTCTTGTAATACTGGTGGGAATGCAGACTGGTGCAGCCACTGTTGAAAACAGTATGGTGTTTCCTCAAAAAATTAAAAAAGGAACTTCCAATTGACCCAGTAATCCCACTTATAGGAATATATCCTAAGAAAACAGAAACACCAATCAGAAAGCATATATGCAAACACCAATCAGAAAGCATATATACACTCCTATGTTCATAGCAGCACAATTTACAATAGCTAAGAATTGGAAACAGCCTAAGTGCCCATCAGCTGATGAGTGGATTAGAAAACTGTGGTACATCTACACCATGGAATTCTAGGCTGCTGTAAAAAAGAAGGAATTCTTTCCATTTGCAATAACATGGATGGAATTGGAGAGCATTATATAGAGCGAAATAAGCCAGTCAAAGAAAGATTAATATCACATGACCTCAGTTGTGGAATATAATGAACAACATAAACTGATGAATAAAAATAGAACCAGAGTCATCTAAGCATTGAACAGACTGTCCAACCTATGAAGGGAAGTAAGGGTGAAGGGGTGGAGAGATCAGCCCAAGGACTTGTATGTATGAATATGAGCATAACCAATGGACACAGATGGGGGAGAGGTAAGGGTGTGCCTGGGGGATAGGCGAGGGTGAGGAGGTCAATGGGGGAAAAAGGAAACTTATGTAATACTTTGAACATTAAAGGATTTAAATTTTAAAAAAGAGTCAACCAATGAATGCATCAATAAGTGAAACAACAAATTGATATCTGTCTAAAAATATAAATTAAAAAACACACAAATCATTCATCAGATGAACCAAGTATATAAAAGTGAAAGCTCACAAGTTATATAGAGTCAATTCTGGAGCATACCTTCATATCTCCATTTAAGAATCAGACTCTTTTTTTCATTTTAAGGAACCATGAAATTCAAGTGAGGACTATAAATGATGCTACTATATTATTTGTATAGTTATCAGTTTTTCTAGTAGTTGATAAAGAACCAGAGCAAATTTGTTCCTTATGAATTTCTTTATATTACAGCAGTGAATACAAATATAGCAAAACCAACACTCAGTAATAATACAAATCAATTTGCTTTAAAAAAAAACAAAAAAACAGCTTTGATGGCTTCCTCTCCTAAGTCATTGACACGTGCAAATGATTTAATTAATGATTCTATTATTCTAATGTCAGCCATTCAAAATCACCATATAAATTTGGTATTCTGCTTTTTTCTGTACAGTCCTTAAAATTTTAACATTTCAATTTATATACTCATTTCTACAGAAATATTTCTAATGAAATATATTTATAAGAGTCTTCCATTAACATTTTAAAATTTCATTAACTGGTAATAAAAAACTTATAAGAAGGTGACATACGGATCTAATAAAGCTCTATTATAGCTTAGAAAATAAAAGCAGTAATATAGTATTCTGGTAGTAATTTCAGTGCCTAGTACAACTCTTGATTTTTCTTTCTCTTGTTCTCCTTAGTCTTCTCCTTGCATGGTGAGAAAACAAGATAAACCACTCCCAGCACCACCTCCTCCCTTAAGAGATCCTCCCCCCCCTCCACCTGAGAGACCTCCCCCTATCCCACCTGAAAATAGACTAAGTCGCCATTTGCATCCTGTGGAGAGTGTGCCTAACAGAGACCAGCCAATGCCTCTTGAAGCCTGGTGCCCTCGAGATATATTTGGGGCTAATCAGCCAGCAGGCTGTCGACTGGTAGGGGATGGCTCTCCAAAGCCTGGAATCACAGCAAGCTCAAATGTAAATGGAAGGCACAGTAGAATGGGCTCTGACCCAGTACTAATGAGGAAACACAGACGCCATGATTTGCCTTTAGAAGGAGCCAAGGTAAGAAATACACAAACCTGCTTAAATTCTTCTTGCAGGAGGTAGTATAAAAGGTTGGGCAGTGTTTTGTTTTGTTTTATTTTGTTTTGTTTTGTTTGCCTAGTGTGGTACTTCCCTGCAAGTCTTTAATGGAGTCCAAGTTATAAATATTCAGAAGCTCATTAAAACTTAAACTTAAAAGAAGTTAAGGAAAGGTTCTAAGTAATGATTTAATTTTAATATGAAGACACTAGACAATTTGCCGGAGATTTATTTCACCTTCTGTTATTTCACCAAACAACTTTTTTTTTTTTTCCTGTTAGGAACTTGGTGGGAGAATTAGAACTATTGTTTTAATCTCCTAGTTCTGTCTAACTTGAAAACAGTTATATAATTATAGTATATCAGAAATATGCATTAGAATTGTCAGTACACCTATGCAAAGAGGTAAAATGAATCTTCTCAGCAATGTGAAAACACCAAATCCAGTTCACTGTTACACAGCCAGCTATTTCTCCATAAAACTGAGAGACAGAGACTCTCACATATGTTGATTTCTTGAAGGATATTTTCACTTATATGTTCAGGAAAGAAGTTAAACGTACAGGAAACCAAAGTGGCAAAAGTAGAATCATTGAGTTTAGAACTCTTAGTAAGCCCTTGGCAGAGTTCCTTATATTCTCGTATCCATGATATTTTTGGCTCTGAGATCAGATTATCCCATCTTCCCTCAGCAAAAGGAGGCTTACCTCTTTTGAAGACTTTAATATTAAAGTGAACCCATATCTCTTGACCTTAAATTGTTATTTTAAGGAAGTAACTTATTCCTTCAGTACAATGGCTTGCAGTTGAGGAATATAATATATTCTAGAAACAAGTGTGAAATGTGACATGTGCTCAGCTCCTGTGTGTGTATGTGTTTGTGTCTGTGTGCACTTGTGTTTTTGTGTCCCTGTATGAAGGGAGGTAATAATGAAAACTTTGTATAATATTTTACCTCTGTGATATTGTAGGATAGCCAGAATAAGAACACTAAAAACTTTCTAGTATGGCATTGAACACAAAGAGAAGAGTGGTGGTGGTTTGACAGGACTCTTTGCCATTGACTGTCCTTGGTACCTTCAGTCTCATCCTATCTAATAAAAGGGTAGTATGCAAATCGACCATACTCTGCAACACCCACAAGCCATGTCCACCAGCCAATCAGGAGCGAGTATGCAAATTGACCCAACCAAGATGGCTGTGGCCACGGAGCAAACAGGAGGCTTGGGTTTCCCTGGCAATGGAGGAAGCCAAGCTTTCTGCACACCCTGGCCGGCCCTGGACTCCACTCAAGGCTACAACATTTCAATTATAGAAGATAAATTAATCCCAACAAAAATGGGCTGCAGCCAGGGAGCTTGGCTTTCAATTGTAGAAGTTTCAATTGTAGAAGATAAATAAATCCTAGATACCAGGGTCTCCGCTTGGGTTGCCAGGGGGCCTCTAGTCTATAATAATAATAGAGTAATATGCTAATTATGCAGGACATCCTTCAGGATGAAGCCACGGCAGGCGGTAGCCAAGGCAAAGGCAGCTGCCGCTGCAGTGGTGGCTGAGCCCCTTGCACAAATTTCATGCATTGGGCCTCTAGTCAATTATACATATGAAGATCTCCAAAGTTTCTTCCCAAAGTCATCTAAATATGTAAATTAAAGAGAAAAAATTTTTAAAAGCATCTTTATCATCCTTTTCTGAAAATGGAGAATGTTATCCTCAAAAGAATGTTTCCACACCATTCTTTTTTTAAATGTCTTTTTTTTTTCCTTTAGTCTCTATTTCTTTTCATTCCTACATGATCAGACTTCTCTTGAGAAAAGTGTTGAAATTATTTATGACAGGAATTGACTAGTTATTTATTAGCAGCATATAACAATATTTCCTACCCTCACTGGTTTGGCTCAGTGGATAGATCATTGGCCTGTGGACTGAAGGGACCTGGGTTTGATTCCAGTCAAAGGTATGTACCTTTGTTGCAGGCATATCCCTGGTAGGGGATGTGTAGGAGGCAGCTGATCGATTTTTCTCTCTCACTGATGTTTCTAACTCTCTATCCCTCTCCCTTCCTTTCTGTAAAAAAAAAAAAAAAAAAAAAAAAAATCAATAAATTATATTTTTTAAAAAAACTATTTCCTGAATGAACTTCAAAAATACTTAAAATAATTATCTTAGCCAGTTTATTGAAGACCTCTCCTTTCATGTTTCTTTTCAATACTATGTTATACAATTTTAATACTAATATAAACCTGCTTTTAAAAGCTCCAGAATGTTGGTTGTTAATTTTTGTATGGAAAGTTACATTTTTGTTTCAAATATATTATTTAGACTTGTTTTCATTAGAGGCAATGCTTCAAATTAAGTATGGTCTTCCCTCTTCAAGATAAGAAAACTTGGCTAAGTTCTAAAAGTGTAAATTAAAATTAAATGTACATATGGAATACCATATGGGGAATTCATAAAACTAAACACCCTATAAATGGAGTGACAACTCACTCCCTGTCATCATGTGTCTTCTCTCATGTGCCAGTTTTCATCATCCCTTAGAACATTTGCCCTTTTTATTTGCATCTTCACTAGACAAATGGTAAGGGAAGCAAGAATAAATTAAATTTTAATTACTCCATTTGCTAGTTGTAGTGAACTCTGAGGGAAAAAAGCCCTCTAATTCATAAAGTGAAGAGTAAGAATTTTCTGTGGCTTCCATTTACTCCCCTTTCTCTTCCCCTTCCCCCTTACCATAATCAAATAGCTAACATAATGCTTATAACATGAATCTGCAAGCTAAGAGCTATTGGGATTATTTACCTTGTTTTATTTTCTTTGTAAGAGATTTCTGTGCAGTAGCATTGTTTTCATTTTCTGAATTTCTCAGGTCTTAGTCACATTATTAACCTATTCCTTCAGAAATATTTTGTCAGTGGTGTTAACCATCTGAGGTGAAAATATTTGCAGTATAATGTTGTAAATATCATTTGACACTTGGAATTTATTTCCTTATTTCTAGATGCTAATATTGTGTCCAACTATCTTGGTTTGTTCCTCTTGAAAAATTAAAGCTACTGCTGTTTCTTATGTGATAAAGACTATCTCTGATTTGTCATGTTACTTCATGTGACATTACTCTAAAATGAGCTTGTGAACAGTATCTGTTAGAGATATTACTAGATAAATACATCGAATGATTTTGCTTTTTGAGATAGTGGCTTTTGCTCTTCTGCTGGTGAGGCTCATATTTATATGGATGACCTTAAATCTGCCTATAAATGTCCATGGCTGTCTTTCAGAAAATAAGTATACTCTGTGTGCTGGTTTTATTTCTAGTCTGATGTAGAAGGACAAGTTATAGCAACATTGTGAGGGTAGTGAATGTGTGGGATTACATGCATGAGGTAAGGAAAACCTACCACCAATAACAAATAAATAGCCAACAAAATATTTGTTAAGGAACAGGCTAATAATGTGACTAGAACCTGAAAATATCAGAGAATACAAACAGTGCTTTAGGATAAAAATCACCTACCATGAAAATAAGACAAGATATTTATAGGTTTTGTGTAAATAAAAAAGTTTTTCTTAATTGTGCAAAGATTACCACAAAGTATTTATTTTCCCTATATTTCAAGAGTCCCAGATTTTTTAACTATAATTGTTAGATAACATCTATCATGAGAAAATATTTCAGTCTTCAAGATTAGGATCCAGTGCATCTTGAGGCATGTAGAAAAATATTAATCTAGCATATAAGTAACCAAAAATTTATAATAAAATATGTGATACCTCAGATTATTAGTCTCCCACATATCTAAAATTCTCCCAGTGAATTTTTATTCCTTCAGCCTATTTTGGCTATATGAGTACTACAAACTGTAGGGAATACAAAACGAATAAAGCACAGTATAGTGAGGGTGAGACAGGTATACCATTAACTAAGAAATAAGACACAGAAGTAGCATTCAGAAAGTACAATGTGGGTTCCCCAAGACAAAACATTCTATTTGAGATATAAGAGAAAAAGAATTTAAAAAAAAAAAAGCTTCATGTAAGAGGGTCATTGGTTGTAGACATTGGAAGACTGGTAGGTATTTTTATAGACATTAAAGGAAGGATTGGAATGGAGGTGAGGAAACATGCATAGTGTAGGAAGTCAATTTTGAACAGAATATAGGGCATAATCATAGAATAAACAGACAAAACCTATGGCAATGCAAATTGAAACTAATTATGGAGTGTTTTATATTCTATACTAGAGATCCTGTGCATGAAATTTGTGCATGGGGTGGGGATCCCCTCAGCCTAGCCTGCATCCTCTCACAATCTGGGACCCCTCGGAGAATGTCTGACTGTCAGCTTAGGCCTGATCCTGGACCTAAGCTGACACTCGGACATCCTTCTCACAATTTAGGACAGCTGGCTCCTAACCGCTCACCTGCCTGCCTGCTGATCACCATAACCATTCACCTGTCTGTCTTATAACACCTAACCACTCTGCCTGTCTGCCTGATAGCCCCTAACAACCTCTGTCTCAGACCCACCACCACAGCTTTGTCCAGAATGACATCTGGGAGGTTGTTCGGCTGTCTAGTCTAATTAGTATATTATACATAAAGCTAATTTGGACAGGAAAGCACATTCAAAGTTCTGACAAGAGGAGTGATAGAATCAGAATTACTTAAGTTGATAGATTATGTGATAAAAACTATTTCTGACTTGTCATGTTACTACACATGACATTATTCTAAAATCCTGTGTGCAGTATCTGTTGAAGATATTTCTAGATAAATACATCGATTTTGCTTTTTGAGATTGTGGCTTTTGCTCTTCTAGTTTTGAGGCTCAATGTTCAATGGAAATTAAGGTGAGTTGGGGATAGAGAGCTAGTAAGACAGAAAAGGATGTTTCTTTGTTTGAGAAAGTTATGACTTAATGCAGTCACTCAGGTCGGGCAGCTAAAATGATTTTCTGTTTAGTGAAATGGATACAGCTGGGAGCACAGAATGAAATCGTGTTAATCTTATTGTTCTACCACTATCAGGTAATAAAAGGAGCACTTTAGAGCAGAAATATGAACATCACCTCAATACCTGCATATTAAAGTCCTCTGATGTTTGCACAAATGTGTAACCTCAATCTATCAAATAGGAAAAAAAAAAAAAATGAATTATGTGTTTGGTATTAGGTGTTTTGTATGCAAGATCAGCCATTAAACAAATCAGGTAGGTTTGCTGTGAGAATTTCAGTAAACTCCTGAATTCTTCCAGCTGTACTAAGATAAAGTCATTTCATTGGTTAATGTTTCCATTGAAAGATCATTGAAATAAATCAGCAATCAGTTTTCACCCAGCCTTACTGTGTGTAAAGCACTGAAGTAAATGTCTTATAAAATGTGGAAGTCAGAGAGGCTTTGTGCTAAGATCACTGTGGCATGAATGCTCTTCCACAGAACATAAACAAAACAGCAGAACATGCCAAGAACCAAGTAAATGACTCAGAAAAGACACGGTGATATTTCAGAAGCAGGGGAAATGCTCGGTTACTGTGCATAAATAACTGTGTCTAAAGCAGCAGGGGAAAGTACTACTTGCATTTTAAAGCAAAGGAATAGACAGTGTCACAAAATTAGGGAAAGTCACTTAACTTTGATAGGTTATTGCTCTCCTAGAATAAAGTATATCATTAACTGTGCTTTATAGTCTTACTGATGGTAGACACCATTGCCTGTGTGACTTATCAAAATTTAATGGTAGTACTAAAAAATATCGTGTATGCTTTATTATTAATATATTAGAGGCCCAGTGCACAAAATTTATACACTCAAGAGGGTCCCTCAGCTCAGCCTGCACCCTCTCAAAATCTGGAAGAACCTCGGGGGATGTCCCACTGACAGCTTAGGCCCACTTCCCACAGGCCTAACCCAGCAGTTAGACATCCTTAGTGCTGTAGCAGAGATAGGAGAGGCCCCACCACCACAGCTGCTCTTGCCAGCCAGGAGCTTGGCTTCTGGCTGGGAGGCACTCCTTCTGTAGGAGCCCACTGACCACCAGGAGGCAGCTCCTGCATTGAGCATCTGCCCTCTGGTGGAGTGCAGATGTTAGTATTAAAATTTACTACTATGATTACATTGCTGTTGATTTCTCTCTTGATATTTTTCAAAAGTTTTTTTTGTTTTTTTTTTGTTTGTTTTTTTGTGTTTTTTTTTTAATGTATGTTGGGTGCTCCTACATTGGGTGCATATATGTTTACCAGAGTTATATCCTCTTGTTGTAGTGATCCATTTAGTATTATGAAGTGGCCTTCCTTATCTCATGTCAGGGCCTTCACTTTGAGGTCTATTTTGTCAGATATTAGTATTGGTACCTCAGCTTTTTTTTTTCCCCTCTTCATTTCTATTTGCCTAAAAGATGTTTTTTCCATTCCTTCACTGTCAGTCTGTGTGAGTCCCTTGTTCTGAGATGGGTCTCTTGTAGACAGCATATATATGGGTCATTTTTTTTTTCTTTTTATCCATTCAGCCACTGGTTGTCTTTTGATTGAAGCATTTAGGCCATTTACATTTAACATTGTTATTGATAAATACTTGTTTGTAGCCATTTTTTGTGCCTGTGTTCCTTCTTCCCTTTTTTCCCATTCTTTTTATAACACTACCTTTGGCATTTTTTGCATTGCGTGATACTGATAGATTCCCTTAGCCTTTTTTTGTCTGCAAAGCTCCTGATTTCCCCTTCAATTTTGAATGATATCCTTGTTGGATAATATATTCTTGGATTAAGTCCCTTATTTTGCATCACTTTTTATACTTCATACCATTTCCTTCATTGCCTGATGTGTTTCTGTTGAGAAATCATCAGGTAGTCTAATGGGAGATTCTTTATAGGTAGTCTTTAAAATTCTCTCTATTGTTAACGTTTGCCATTGTAATTACGATGTGACTTGGTGTGGGTCTTTTGGGATTTATCTTTTTTGGGACTCTGGTTTTGTGACTTTTTCCTCCCTAAATCAGGGAAGATTTCTGTCATTATTTCTTCAAATATGTTTTCTAATCCTTGCTCCTCTTCTTTCTGTTCTGGCACCCTTAATATAGTATGTTACTTCATTTTATATTGTCCCAAAGTTCCCTTAAGCTCTCCTCCTGTTTTTTTTAATTTTTTCTCCAGTTGCTGTTCAGATTGGTAATTTTTTTCAGCACTGGCTTCTAATTCACTAATTTGGTCCTCAGCTTCTTCTAGTCTTCTGTTGAAACCTTCCATTGCGTTGTTTATTTTAGCTATATCATTTTTATTTCCTCTTGATTCTTACTTAAGTTGTCGATTTTCTCATTTATCCAATTTAGAAACTCTATGACCCTTACTCTGAATTCTTTTTATGACATATTGCATGCCTCCATTTCATTTAGTACCTTTTCTGGTGATTATACTTTGGAGATTGTTACTTTGTCTCCCCACTTTTCCTCTTACTGAAAGATCTAGGCTGTGAGTCACCTGGGACCTGTGACTACCTTGATGGGCTTGTCTGGAGGGGTCACACCCACCAAGACTTCCTGAAGGGGGCCCTGGCGTGGAGATGCATGTGGCCTGCAGTTGTATCGGTGGGCTTGGGAGGCAGGTTGTGTAATCCCAGACTCACTGGCAGGCCCAGTAGCTTGGATGTATTGGACATGCTGTTGAAGTGGTGGAACTGGCAGGCAGGTTTTACAGGGCACGGGGCCAAAGTGGTGGGCTGGCAGGAGGGGAGCATACTCTGAAACTCACAGGATCCTATGGTCAGGGTGGCTGGGTCCCAAGTGTCCATATGTCTTGCATTTCAGGTAGCAGGTCTTGGGTCAGAGTGGCTGTAGAGTCCAGGGTGGTTCTAGGGTCATTCAGGGTGTGGTGAGGATGGGCTCCTAGTCACAGTAGCTTTCCCTTTTAAGATGGTGTGGTTACTGTGTTCTAGCCAGCTTCCCCAGGAGTGATTGCACCATAGCAGGTCTTCCCATCTAGGATAGCCTTGTCCACCAGCCCTCGAAAGTCCTGGAAGACCTAACTATCACACACACACACACACACACACACACACACACATTCTTTCTCTCTCTCTCTCTCTCTCTCTCTATCTCTATCTCTATCTCTATCTCTATCTCTATCTCTATCTCTATCTCTCTCCTTTTGCTCCCTCACTCTCACACACTCTCTTCCTCACTGCTATCCTGCAGGCTGCCATCTTCCTTCATCCCTTTAAGGCATTTTTTAAGTTAACGGTTTCTATTGAACTTTACAATGATTAATATGTACTTAATAATTTTTTTTTCTAGTAAATTTTTAAAAATGCATTGTTCTGATATTTGGTCTATAGTCAGACATCTATGATAGCATAATTTCATTTAAAGATACATTTTCTCATACCTTACCTATAGTATATTGAGTCTAAAGTAGGGAGGTATAAAAAAAAAAAAGAGAATGTTACTTTAGTATAGGGCCTAGGTTTTAGAGTGAAACTTTAATGCTATAAAATGTAGAATGTGTAGCTTTGAAATGTAAACATTGATATATTTCACATGTATTTCTTAACCTGTTGCTTTACTTATTTTAAGGTTGATAGTGAAAGGTATGTAGGACCTTTTCAATTTTTGCACTCTAAAGCTTCAACACCACTTTAGACATGAAGGGGACAAAAAAGTAATTAGCAAGTCATTAATTGTGTTACCTAGGACTATTCAAGGTATATTTCATCCTTTTTGCACCAACATTCACCTATACCTTTTATGTATTCATTAATAAGAGTGTGGGAAAGAGGCCAATGATAAAGCCCTAAAGGTTGCTTAAAGGTCTTAAAATACATTTAAGCTTTCCTCATTAGTATGTCTTTGCAAAGTTATGCTCTCTCTGTTAAGATTGTGTTAACTTCAAGTTGTTTGATTAGTACAGAGCAGTCGTTCACGCAGTTTCTGTAATATAACTGACCACCCTGGAAAACAGTGACTCTCTGTGGTACCTTATGAGCAAGGTTACAATTTTGGCTTATGTCATTTACAAAAGGAAATCTATGTATAAAAATGTCTTCATTTTGAAAGTCAGAACAGGTCTCCAGTTGCCAGTTTTGCTGAAGTTTGAAAGAGCAGAGGCATTTCTGTTTATACTCATATACGGTATTATAGAGAAACTTAAAAATGTTGTTAGCCCCTGAGAGATACAACTTCAAGCACTTGGGATGAACTGAAATAAGAATTGCACCAGTGCTACTTTTCTCTGTACTGAATCCTTAAAGAGACTCTAATTTTTCAGTAAAAACTGATCATGCTTGGGGAATTTTACTCTTTATTTATCTAGCTCTCTGTATCTGATTTATAGAAATTATAGTATTCCTTATCACTATTTAAGAATCACATTGTATTGGACTTCTTTAATGTAACTTGGTACTACTTTGGATGGTGTGAATTATCACTATAGTCTATTAACTCCTAAAGTAAATTGTATTTCACTTGATTAAATAAACTAAAGTTATAAATTCATTTCAAAGTTTTTCTAAAGGTGCTATTATTTTAAGGTACTTCAGAAATTAAATTCTAAACTAACCCTTTGATTTCCTTTCAGGTATTTTCCAATGGTCACCTAGGAAGTGAAGAGTATGATGTTCCTCCTCGGCTTTCTCCTCCTCCTCCAGCTACTGCCCTCCTCCCTAGCATCAAGTGAGTTGTATTGAATATGGAGATCTTTACTCATGCATAAAGATATCATAAAGAGTGGTTTTGATATTCTCATCACAGAAAGTATGAGGTGAATATAAATGTATCAATTAAATGATCCAGATGTACTTATAAACTGAAATGTCAGAAGTCTAGGGCCTTCCTGGTTCTCTGTTGGTGACCACAGCATCTTGGAGACCTGCCTTAAGCACTAAGATTCCACATAGAGTAGCAGTGAGCGAAAGCCATCTTCCTTGCAGCCAAGAGAAGGTGGAGGAGCACATAGCCCAGCAAGCTCTCCCTCCCAGTATGCTCTCTTCCTTAGAGATACCACATTTCCACCAGCTATTTGTTTGACATCATAAATAATCTTTGATTCCTCCAATTTTCTCATTTCCCAGATCCATTCATCCATTAAACCCTATTGGTTATTGTTTTGAATTTTGTCATATTCAGCAGATCTTCCCCAATGCCCTATCTTCAGCTCATAGCTGGACAAGCCTTATACTCGATCATATGATATGAGCTCAGAATTAATATCAAAATTTTTTAAATTAGAAAAATAAGTTAACCCAGGGGTCTCATTAGAAAAATGGGAACACAGGAGGCACAATAGACAGTTATATACATTTACCAAAATCAAACTAGGATAAAACCAAGTCTTCTGATTCCCATTTTCCTACTCTTCATATTAAATCAGGCTGCCTATTTTTCCTCTAATATATTTTGTTTTCGCAGCCAAATTAATTTAAATTATGCTTTCCCAAGATCACTTTCTTATGGGAAACACAACATTGTTGCCATAGCAGGTTTGGCTTAGTGGATAGAGCAGCAGACAGAAGGGTCTCATGTTCAATTCTGGTCAAGGGCATGTACCTTGGTTGCAGGCTCCTCACCGGCCAGGACCTAGTTGGGGCTTGTTAAGAGATCAATATGTTTCTCTCACATTTATATTTCTCGCTCTCTTTCTCCATCTTTTCCACTCTCTCTAAAACTCAGTGGGAAAATATCCTTATGTGAAGACTAAAAACAAACAAACAATAACTCCCTCCACAAAAAACACACACCAATAAACAACACAACATTGTTCTTTCTTTCCTCCTAAATTATCCTATACTGTTATGCAGTAAGACCCAACAGAATTTTACCCAACTACAATTCTGTTCAATAATTTCCTAGTGCTTGCCACTAATCTTGTTTTGATTTTTTTCTGGCTTTGTGAGTTTTTCATTCTGTTCCAGCACCACTTTTTTCAGAATGTTTATTCTAAAAGTCCACGTCTCTCAAGCTCTATTTCTTTATGAAACATTTTGTGACTTCTTCAGGCATAATGCTAGTAGTAAAACTGATTCTCATTTCCCTTCCCACCATTTATTTTCTACACATATAATTATGTACTCTGCTCTACTGTTTTCTAATTTTAAAGTGCCTTTTACATTAATAAGGTTCTCACATCAAAAACATATTCTTCTATTTTCTAATTCCCCATAACACCTGACTGTTTTTGCTCTCTACTAAATAGATACTACCAAGAATACCTGGTTGCTTGGTTGATTGACTTCATTATCTGCTAAGATTCTCATTTCTAATTGAAACTTTTAGAGTATCTTTCTTTCTCTTCTGGTCATTGAACTCCCACTGTGCATATGAATGCAGAAGAAGGATACACTAGATATGAGCTTTCAGATATTTATAATCTACTTTAATATGAAGTTAAGATATGAAATCACTAGAGAGCATTATGCACTAAATTGTATGAATTTGAACTTTTTAGTTTTTATATAAGCTTTGAACTTATATAAAATTTGAACTTTTTATATGAGGAGAGATTATTAAAGATTTTGTAAGTCAAAGATGCTTTATAGGAAGGATGGAAATTTCCTGAATCATGGATGGTAGGTATAATTGGGAAAGGGGGAGTGCATGAGAAAAAAGCCAGAGTGTGAAATGTGACATCATTCAGGAGACAGTAAAAAACTAAGCTAATTGGACCATTTTCCAGTGGTCACTTTTCCTGAAACTGACAGATATATAGCAGGCAGAAGTTGGAAGCATGTACACATATTCTGTGTAGTGGGCTCTAAATCAGTAGCATATGATACTTGAGCCTCAAGTGAACTCTGGGTAAATGTATATGTATTATAACATATAAGTTCAATTACCTTTGAGAATTCAGAGAACATCAGAAAATGGGGTAAATGAAACTTGCTACTTAAAGATTAAATTTTCACATTCTATTTATTAAATTTATATTGGCAAGTGGGAGAAGAGGCAGAGGTTACAGTTTGCTTCATTTGTATTTAATAATATCTATCTATCTATCTATCTATATCTATATCTATATATATATATATAAGCCTAATATGCAAAGTGTCCCTTCGGAGTTTGACAGACCAGGTGTTTGATCAGTCCTTATGATGTGCATTGACCACCAGGGGGCAGCACAGAACAAAGGAAGGCCCTAGCCAGCAGCTGGTAGCCTGGGAAGGGAGACTCCAGCTGGCAGCCAGCAGCTGCTAGGGACTCTACCCATGCACGAATTTAGTGCACAGGGCCAGAAGTTTCTTTATAAGTAGAAAAAGAAGAATAAATTTATAGTAAAATGTATTTTATTGACATTTTTTATAATAATTTAATTTGTACATCTTTGTGGATACACTTTCTCTCTCTTTACTTTTGATATTTTCCTCAATGCAATTGCTTTACTTAACCAGTGAAATACTTTAGCAATGCTTAACTGCAAATTAGCTTTGTATTATGCATGCTACAGATTAACCCATAGTTAATAATACAACTGTTGGCTTTTAATGGCACATTTATCTCTCACATTTATTTTTATTCTTACTATTAGCTAGGAGTTGTTCGTTGTAGAAAAGATAGGAAGTATATAAAAGAAAAAATTAAATGCATAAATACAGATATATACATACTCCAGATATCAATGCTCAGTTTTAATATTTTGACATTTTTTCTTTAAGACTTTTTTTACATGATTTAGATTATATTGTAGAGATAATTTCATGTCCTCCTTTGTCATTTAATATTTAAATAAGTGTTTTTCTTAATCCTTTATGCACTGTATTTATTATGAAACCAGCGTATAATTCCAAAATGAACATTAAAATAAACTTAGATCTGGTCCCAGACCTGATTCCAACATTAAGTATTTGTCTGGATCTGAATAGGGAACTTCTCTGGACCTCCCTTTCTCCCTTTACTAAAAGAAGGGATCAATTTACTTACATGATCTCCAAAACTTTTCTGAGCTTCAACTTTTTAAGTTCTATGGAATATTTTAAGTGGTAGTTATCTGTAGTCTTAATTATATATCAAATATTTGGCAACTTGAATATTCATTTATAGTTGGTTATTGTGTCCCATTGCTGAAGCCAGTCTGAGTTGGATACTGCCCTGCTTTTTAAAAAAAAATTTTTTTTTATATTTTGTCAACTATGGTCTCATTTGAGTTTATAACCAAAGTATAATGAGTTATATAATCATAGAACAGAGGGCAAAATGTAACTCACTGAAATAGGGAAGTTGGGTGGATTTTCAAGTACTATTTGCATATTGGAATCTTAGTGCATGTTTCAAAAATCAGACCAGAGCAAAATTACAAATTACTACCTAAAATAGACTTCTGCAATCTCGCAAATGTTAAAAACCCAACGTTGAATTCAGTAATGTCAAAGCTAGCATTTACCTTTAAATCTATACCGTGTTCTTATAAATGTTTACTGAGGTGTAATTGTTAAAGTATATAACGCTGCTCTGATTCCTACTTACTTGATAAAGAGGTTACTCTGTGATGATGTTTACTTTCTTGTAAAACTGTGTGTTTGCAATTATGTGACTTATTGTGTAATACAATTTGAGACCTAGAAGAAGCTATAATTTATCTTTTAAAAATATTGTCATAAAGGCTAAAACCATACTAGTGTGTATGAATTCACTTTTTTTTTAAATGTTTTCCTAAATGATTTATATTTCATTAACATTGACATTTAGCTGTAAATATAAAAGTTTTAAATAAAACCTTGAGATATAGGTAATTATTTTTGGGTGGGAGGTTGAATAAAAAAATCCTATGTGGATTATGTTTACTTTGTAGTGTAAATTTTTACTAAATTATATTTAATCCTAAAATAACTTGATTTTTTTTTCAAAATTATACTAAATATAACCTGAAAAAGTAAAAATATTTAATTTGAAACAAGATAAGATGTTGAATACAAGCAAAAAAAAATATTGCAAGTAATGATGGAATAATTATTTCCAGGTAAGAGAAAGTTCTGGAATGCTGAGGAATGTTTTTATGGGTGTTTTTTATAAGAATATTATAATGTGCCTGGTCTTTTATAGAAGAATCTTATGTACTTTTGACCTATTAAGATTTCAAATACACATGAACCAATATTACTTGGTTTATATTTTTATAAAAAGTCTCTTTTGTTGTTGGAAGTAGTGGTGTTGATTATTGTCATATACTTTTCCAAACATATAAAGTTGCTAATGTTTTAGGCTCAGTGAATATAGAATCAGATTTGGCCTAATTATTCTGTTTTCACTCAGTTGCATATTCTGACTAGAAATATGGTGTGAACAGATAGAGCCCCATCCTCATTGGAATCAATGCTCTAGTCCAGGGGACAGAAAGGAAACCGGTGACTGTGGTATACTGTCAGGCAATGGTAAATGCTAGGAGGAAAAGTGAAGGGGTAAATAGTGATAGAGAGGTTTGTGCTTTAAATGAGTTCATTGGGAAATGTAATATTTTAACAGAAACCTGCAAAGGAAATAAAGGGCCACTAGATTATCTGGGTGACAAGCATGAACAGAACTCATATTCAAAACAGTGAAGTCAGTGAGTCAGACAGGCAATGTGACTGGAATTGAATGATGATGTAGAAGCTAAGTCCTCTGCTGCGTTTAATGCCATGCTAAGAACTTATGTTTTGGTTAGTTTTAGGAACCACTGGAAGGTTTTAATCAGCAGTATGCCA